AAAAAAAAAAAAAAAAAAAAAAAAAAAAAAAAAAAAAATACACGAGATGAAAGTTTTCAAGAAAGTTTTCAGTGGCCAATTATCATTGGAAAATAATAAAATATGTAAAAGATTAATTTTTTCTCGCCGTTGCGCTTGAATTGACTCGAGCGTTAAACTATAATTTCCGTTTCTAGTGCATTATCACCCTGGCACTTTTGATCATAGAGGATGTCTATGTGCTAATCTATTATGTTAGCTTCGTTGAAGCACTATTCACCACGCTCTCGGTGTCTGGCCTCCTCTGGCTTCGTTACAAAAGTCCTGATCGCGAACGACCGATAAAGGTATGTAAAAAATTGCAAATTTTCTCCTTCAACATTTCACATTTTATACTAACTTTCTTATCCGTCTGTAATAAGATAGGACTTGTTAAAAGTCTACCTTTTTTCCAGTGGAATTAAGACAGTATTAATAAATATACAATCAAGTACATACAGAATTGCAACAAAATTGTACAACTGTAGCTGTAATTCATCAAAATACTAATTCCAACTAATCGATACAAATTAAGAAAAAATTATAAAGTTTGATAAAAAGTACAAAAACATGATTCTCATTTAGAGAACGAATGTGTATTTATGTATATGTAATAGAAGTAGAATACAATATACTTTGATTTAATATTAAATTTCTCGTTTGTTCGTCAGGTATCCATCGTACTACCAATTATTTTTTTCATAATTTGTGCTTTCCTCGTGGTATTTCCATGCTACGTCTCTCCATGGGAAGTGGGAGTAGGAGTAATAATCATTTTATCTGGAATTCCTATGTACTGCGTCTTCATTTATTGGAAAAAGAAGCCTAAATGGCTTATAAGATCATCTCGTAAGTACCTACCATTAACTACTTACTACATTTCCCAATTTTTATTTTAATTATAATTACATGTTACTAAATTAATCTCACATTTTTTTCACATGTTATTCGATGTAAATGATTCAATGTAAATATATGAATCATTTTAAATTATATATGTACTTTTGTCTTTTTATCTTCAAGTCAGACTATAATTTATCAATATATAAAGTGTAATTAAAATATTTATTGTAATTAAGAATTCTTTATTTTTTACAGATAACTTCAATATGATTTGCGCTAAATTGTTTATGTGCGTGCAAGAAGAGAAAAGTGATTGATCCGCAAATTCCGTTCTAATACAGTGTATAGAAATTTGTATAGTATGAATGCACTCCATCGATCTATCCGTTCATTTATAAATTTTACTAATGACAACTTGCAACGACAATACAGAAAAAGATATATAGTTATTTTACTCTAAATAAAAGTAAACGCAACATTCCAATAAAATTTATATCGTTTCTTATAAAATTTATAAATGAACGAATCAATTATACTTGATTTATATTTTTATATATAAATTTCATATATAAATTTTTTTATTTATATATAAATTTTGTGCGCGCGTGTGTGTGTGTGTGTGCGTGTGTGTGCAATAGATAGATAGATAGATAGATAGATAGATAGATAGATAGATAGATAGATAGCTAATATATCTTCATTGCCTAGGTCAATTGAAACAATCGTCAATTATGCAATAATATTTTCTAATAATCTATATTTATAACAATCGCATATCATAATTGCAAGATATTATTCACGTTCAGTTATAAGAGAATTGCGTCTCCTTTCACTTTCAATCTTTAAATATTAAATTACTCATTTATATAAATTGTTTCAAAGTTGTAAGTATAGCAAAATAAGTACACAGAAGAAGAGACTATACTGCTCATTTATTATAGGATTTGTAAATACACATTATTCAGAGCAAATATGAAATGTAAGTCTTAAATACGAGAGAAAACAAAATAGCAAAGGGATATAAAGAAAATTGAAACTTTTAATACCACTTACATTATTGTATATCTAACTTAAATAAGTGTTTCGAGTGATTTATATTACTTTTGCTCTCTTTAATTTAGGTATACGGATACTATACTTTTTAAACGTAATTAAACTGAATTTTAAATGAATTAACAGTCCCTATACAAGAGTAAATACCAAAACCATAAAGACTATAATATAATCGTTCTTTCACTCAATTAAAAAATTAAAAGATTTTTCACTTTTCATTGTCTTTTAAAATCTTCTTTGCTTTTAAATGAATCTACAACTTTTAACCACTTTGTATATCGAATTACGCAGTTATTCATTACGTCTTATAAATAAGACGCTTGTATAAAATCATAAGATTGCAACAAGTATTTCCCTCGCAAGAATATTCGATTCATTTTATGTACTGGCTACAATGCTTAATTGACAACGCATGAAACATTCATTAGCGCACAAAGAACTATTTAAATCATGCTTATGCTCTATCTTAGAATTCTTTTAAAGAATTCTTCTGCTTTTAAAATATTGCATCTAATTACAATAATTAAAAAGTAATATATATCAGATACACGCATAATAATTGTAATATAAATAATACAACCGTGTATATTTAAATTATTCAATTGTACATACCAAACGAAGCATTACAAATTATTTATTATTACTCGATCAGTTGTTGAATAGATAAACGCCATTAACCAGTTGGTCCATAAACCAGTGATAGTAATTTTTATATGTCCCTTTTATCACATTATGATTTTATTTATTGATGAATTATTTATGAAGAATGCTGAGAAGGAGAATACGATAATTACGCTATAATTAATTACGATGAAAATTATATTTGGTAATTTACGATTGTATTTCTGTTACTGTATGACATGTCTGGTCAAGTTATGCATTTAAAAAGTAGGGAAGTTGAACGGTATCTTGCATATTATACTAGAAATATACCGGTATTAAACAATATACTTTGTATGATATGTAATAAGATATTTTACACAACGAGATGATATTTTATACTGCTTACTATTTTATCAGATAATTGTAGCTTTTTTTTTAGAAACGTCTCGATTTCAACACTGATGCATAAATTTAATTTAGACAATAAGTAGTTTTTAAGAAGCGCAAAAGTAATTTGTAAAGCAATAGTCCTTTTGAAACATGCCAAACTAATTATTGTATAATATTGTAATAATTGTATTGAAAAGGATAACGACTGATCACGTGCCTTATGTATAGCACATGTAAAAATAATTTCGTTAAGAATTTCTGATATATCTAAATTTGTATCCAAAACATCTTATTAAATATAAAAATGTATCGTTAATAATAGTATTATTCTAAATATATTAAATGGTTCTAAATCTTTGTTTTCGTTATATTTTAAAATAATTAATCGAATTGATACTATTTTTCTAACTTAAGTAAACTCAACTATGACTTTAAGATAATATATTTATAGTGTTCAAAAGAGATGACTGTCACTATATTTTAAACTATAATCTAAATCTGGCTAACTTGTAACGCAATGTTAAAATTAATGAATAAGAATTTAACGATGGTAAATACCTCGTTTGCGTAGATTTAAGAATTCTGTATAAGACATTCTTCAAATAGTACTACTTTGTCCAATGTTAATATATAAATTGAAAATTCTTGCAGGTAATTCGTAATGAAACGAATTTAAACTGGTCAGATTTAATATAAGTCATAAACAAGTAAATGGATTCTAGTAAATCGTAATGTCTTGTTTGTATTATGGATGAATTAATGAATTTGCTTTGCTCAATGAGAATTTAATATTTTGCATTAATAATTGCACGTACGATGAAATAGAAAATAAAACGTGCCGAGTGAGAAGAATAGCAAACGTGTAAGTGATAAATATTACGATAAATAATACAATATAATAAACAATATATTAATATAACAAATTTTTTATTTAATTATTTTCTATTTGTAATGCTAAGTAAGTAATAATTAATTAAATAGCAAATTGTATACAACATTTTAGTTGGATAATTTTCGTTTTTCCATAGTTGATAATAGAGACAACGTTAAGTAAATACAACATAATATACATGTATATATTTTCATTAATTTACAATTATTACAGAATGTTTTATGTATCCATATACGTACATAGAATAATCCCAACTTCAAAATGTTGGAAATTATATTGTACTATAAAAAGATGCGTGTGTTTGTAGCATTATACGTCGAAGAAAATAAAAATCGAAATAAATTAATATTAAATCAACAGACTACATTTTCATCTCTGTGCTTAAAAATTCTGTTATTATTACAAATATTATATTAATGTATTAAATTTTAAATCTTTCACATTTATCATCTTATCTAATGTTGGCTTTATGTAGTAACATAAATTACTCGATTATTTGTTGTAATAAAAGCTCTTCTTTTTACACTACTAATTCTTATCCTTATATTTTAATACTAAATGAGCGGCGACGTCCCTGCTCTTAAAAATAATCGGTCGCTATAGTATCGATAGAACGAACTCGTTGGATGAAAGACATTTTTTGATAACAAATTGAAAAAAGAATTTACAGATATCTTTAAACTACGTTAAGTTATAAAATATTTGTCATTATGTTCGTATCATGTCAGTTTTATGAGAATCCATTCATTATGGAATTGAAAAATAAACTACTACTAATGTTTTTATAATTATATCTCGAGCTTTTATTATTATTATTGTTGTTGCTGTTGTTGTTGTTGTTATTCCAACTGAATCACTAGTAAATTCTTGATTTCTTTCTTCCTTTTCCAAGTATTACTCATTATTTGCAAAAGCATCGTTCAATGCAATTGCAATGCAGTTACAGTGTTGTAAGATTGGAGAAGGAATTGTACCGACCAAAATCACATGTAAAGTCTGCAGAGTGCAACGTCTCAAATGACAAAAGTCCATTGTTTTTCAACCAGTTTGAAGAGTTATCCCTCTGCGAGCGGGGGTGTGACCCAACCGTACTTCTCGTGCGTTTTTACTAGACTTCTGAAGGATTCTTCGGCAGAATGTCTATTGAATTCTTTGTTGGTTTTCGGTTTTCTTGCTACGCGACCCTGAAAGATAATTATCAAAAGAATTCGTTAGTACAATAATCGATCATCACCTAATTAAGCATATATTCTATCTTTATAAATCATTAAAATTCTTCTTCTCTCAGGTGAGAGAAAAACGATTGAAAAATCGCGAGAAAAACGTGACGAGATATTTCACCTGGCCTTTGACAATACTGGCTGCAAACTGCGTGATTACAGCCTCGATCGTGTACGCACTGGCCCATCCTCTAGGCGTGAGAAGTTCCATACAGATTGCGCCGCCTTCCATGACAAAACCTTTCTCGATCCTTGGCGAGATGACGCGCATGAATGGTGGCGCGAACGGGAAATTCTCCGGGAACACCACGTGCAGAAGTATGTAAGGTATATTAAGCTCTCTCATGTCGCCGGCTAGTTCACTCTCCGGATCGATTTTGTGAAGTCTCACGTGCCACTCGAATAAATTGTCGTTCACCAGCTCCGCGGTGAATGTTGACTCGAGCCGATGTTGCGTCCTTTGAATTTCGCTCAATTCCTTCATCAAACGACGCAGACGAACTCTTTTATCCGGTATCGCAACTGTCCCCTAAAATAATATCCAAATTTCCAATATAATTATCGAGTATTGTCCGCTATTTCCTTATCATTTATTTTATACTATAATTAAAACTATTTATTTTATAATATACTGTAACATTTATAATACGCGTTTTTTCCATCCCAGTAAAGGCAAGGAATTACAAAAAATTAAGAGTACGAGACAAGTGAATTTAAAGAATTCACTGTGGCATTCCAGAAGGCACAGGTACAACAAGGATGTTTGTTACGTGTTTATTTTTTAATTCATGAACTTTGTACGTGACGTACGTAAAGCATAGTGGAATTGCCAGAGGCTTCGTGTAACACGAAGCTTCTGCAAATCCATCAACAGCGATCGATTATAATGAATTAGATATCTAATAATATTAGGTACTTGAACAAGATACGATAGATGGACACGGTAAACAAGATATGCACCTGCGTTGGATTACTAGCAGACTTTTTCGAGACAGACTTAAAGAAACAATTTCCATGATTAGAGTTGCTAGCACCGGGGTTATCAGACAACGGGGAGGCATCGGTCGGAGTAACCGCATCCGGACGATGATGTCTACTTAGAAGCCTTCTCGAGGGAGAGCTGGTCGAACTGCCAGCTCCATCTTGTTCCGATATCTTCTCCGACGATCGAAAGAATTTCCGAAAGGCAGCTACCACCTTCTCCTTCGACCTCGTAGACATGGTTCCCCCAGCTTTCTCAACACGCTGTTCGTTAAAAATTTTCCATCAATTTTTAAGTCTCACAGTTTTTACCAAACTTAACATTTCGGCAATTACAATTTCCAACACCGAGTTTTCTTTCGCCGAATATTATAATTACAGTGTAGTATATATTAAGCGATGAAAACTTTACGGTTATACAGTTACGTGATACTTCGTTAATTATATGCTTTACATATTTTGATCGATAAGTTATTGAACTTTTTAACAAAATATATACTTGAGCTAAACGTGAAAGGATATGCTTTTTTCTTTAATCACGTACGTACAAGCTAATTCAAATTAACTAAAATTATGCACATATACACAAGTCTACCAATTTCTAATAACAATTTCTAATACAAATTAAACCAAGCTTTTGGCAACATCTTGAAGAAAAGAGATAATCACATCTTTGCGATGTGAACGAACAAACGAATGGATGTTTCATCTCTGTTTTATATATAAATAATTGTTATGTTACATAAATAAATAAACGAATTATTAGAATGATACGATACCATTTTTTTAAAACATCAACTAGCAAATCTTCGTCTGATTTTACAATACACAAGCCTGTCCTCGGTCAACGGCAGAACCACCAACTATCCAATAACTTGTAAACGAGATATACTGTATACAATTCATTTCGTAACGTCACGCCCCTTTCTCCTTTAAAAAAAATGCAAACAAGCTTTCCTAAAATTTCAATTAAAATGCGTCTCCTTCGATCGAAATGTGTGACACACAGTGAAAGAGAGAGAGAAGAGTAGAACAGAGGGAACGCAAGAGGAAGTTCACCTGTGACAGTGGAAAGTGCGGAAAAAGAAGGTTCTGGTGCGAAGTTCAGCATCCGCGGCAGTTTGCGTTAACGTGAACACTGTATCCGCTCAATTGCACCACTCACCCTTTCCTCCCTTTTCAGGGATCAGAGGCAATTACGTGTGGGTGTAGTCGATCGTTTGCGAATCATGTTAAGTCGGCCACCAACACGCCCGCAATACGCGAATAATTCGGAGAAAAATGCGATAGATTTGCTGTTGTTCAAGAGCACGATGCACGAAGGACACTATGATCGCGACAGAACACGGCGCAGTCTCCACCCTTGGTTGAACTGACCGGGCGCGTAGTTCGGAAGGGTTGCTAATCGCTAACTGTATTGGCCAGGGCCGTCTTAACCTGTTCAACGTCAACGTCTCATTACGATGCGAACATTCCTATTTTCCTTCCTTTTTTCCCCTTTCTTTTTCGAAATTTTATGAAAAACTTGTAAGTATTAACGGCACGCCAATATTAGTATTGAGGTACATACAGATTAAGTACATATATATGTTTCAATATTTTTGTTGAAAATTGGCAAAAGTAATAATTAATGACCTGTGAATCACAATTTCATTTGTACGTCAGAAATAATGTTAACGAAAAAGATATGAAAAAGCAATTAAATTACCTTGTATGTGCATATGTTCCCGAGTGTCTTAATTGCTATTTGAGGTTACGTTGGCAAATTTGGTCGCGTTGTCGCATTGAAAGAAATTTTATTTTGTTATTATGTTTTCGTTATTATTTATTAATATACTGGTATCTTTCTATTATATGCTATTACACGTACTAGTATCTTGTGTGATTTAAAAAGATCATTACTATTAATTATTAATAGCAATTATTATTTAGTACAATAACAATTTATATATATGTTCGAAATCGAGTTTGCTGCAGATATCCTAAATAAACTATCAGAAAAAACATCAATGATTAATTTTATCCAATCACAAAAGATGTATTTTTATTAGCAATAAGTGTATTTTATAGGTTGCATTTAGGTTAGATTAGTTTCAAGAAATGAAGAATTAAAATCAAGATGAAATTAATATTTCTTTTTCAAGATTCCCTGTTAACATTGAATGAATATAACGTGATATTGCCAGATGTTATAGGTTGCGCAGGGATAGATTGTAACTGGGCAACCTTTTAGCATATCATGATGCACGATGTACAAATTAAAAAACTTATCTAATGTCTATGATATGATTTAACATGTATCGATAATGATAATCATCATCTAACACATTCTTCTAATATTTCAAAGAATTTTAAATATTAATACTAACGTAAAAAAATATATATAATAACTTGGTATAATTTACTCTTTAATTTATCAGATATACCATAAAAACAAAGATGGGAAAAAATCTGACAGGAGAGCACAATTCGGAATGAATTTAATAAAAGTACTATTTATTCTTCCATGGTTTTACGATGTAACAATTCAAATATCGATTTGAAAATAAGAAAATTAAAACATGCTTAGCTATGTAGGCAAGTACAAGAAAACAAGATATATATTGAATCCATATCCATTTCAATTCTTCCCAAATACTCGGTTGATAATAAATTAAATGATCTTTATAAACTAGTTCTGCTTGAATTATTATTACATTATCATTTGTATAACCTGCTTCTTCCATTACATATTTGTTCGTTATTTTAGCTGCAACTGAAAAAAAATTTTACAATTTTATCATGTTCTGAATAATATGAAATAACACCGAAGATAATAAATAATATAAGATATTGAAAAATAGTACCAACATTTTCTGTTAAAGTTTTGCATAAGCAATTCATCTATGGAGTAATCAGCAATTTCTATACTGCGATTGTACGACTCGTATAAACCTTCACTAGTGAGAAGACTTTTTTGTTGCAATATCAAATCTCCATAGAAGCAAACCTTCTGGACCTCTTCGTTTAATGTATGAGTAAGGTAGGCAATGGATTCTACTGTTGTTGTAAATAATTGCTGCAATAAATTAATAACGAAATTAAATTCAATAATTAAATGAAATAAAAGAGGTATATAGTAACGATAGAATTTTACGTTTAGTTGAAAATTGAAAAAAAGTAAAAGTTTAAGAGACTTTACAGCTTGATCGGTGTAAAAATGTGCTTCAAACTTTAAAATGTCCTTTTTACCATCAATATTTGTATCTATTTCACGAACCTAAAATCTTATAACATTAACTCTTATACAAAATATATGTAATACAACGATAACAATTTACAAATATTAATATACTAATATTTGTAATCATAGTAACAGAACCTTTATTACTACACAGTCATCTTTAATTTCATTATCCTTGTACGTTTTAAAAGTTGAACATACAACAGGATTAATATTGTAATCTTTATTCGCTAACAATAAATATTTGTAATTAAATGATACACCAGGCTTTTCCACGAGTACGTAAGTTTTCAACGAATAACCTGAAAATCAAATTAATCGTAATATCGATATAAAATGGTAAAAAATTGACAATACTTATAGTAGCATAGTATATATTTATAGTATATTGCGCACAGTATATTGATATGACACTTGCGAGAAGTAAAAAGTTAAAAGATACATACCTCCTGTATTAGAAATAATGAAAAGCGGTGAAATCAATGATAAAAATATGATAAATAATACAGCGAGAAAGCTTAAGGAACATATTTTACTTTTGTATTTATAATTGACGGGGCTTGAAAATATCTCGATGGCAGCCATTTTGACGCGTTGCCATGGCATCGGTTAACAAAATATGTAAATGCATATAGTATGTGAAATGCTGGTTTTGATTGGTTGTTTTGAATAGATTTAGTACAATGTTAAACATACGTGAGAACGCTGCAGACTGAACGCCGGGCTGTCTCGGGTAGCTTTTTATTTTATCCGTGCATCGTGTACAACAATTATTTTAGAATTTTTCACTTAACGTTAGGTTTTTTTCGTCCCAAATAGTACTTACGAATAATTAAATGTTTAACGTTTTGTTAAAAACGTGTAAAAAGTGGATACGTCAGATTGTTGTGATTTTTAGGTTATTATATACAAAACTACCTGATTTAAACGTCTCACTTTTGAAAAAGAAAATGCCGTCAAAAAAGATAATGATAATGATTCATATTAAAATTAAAAACTAAGCTTTTAAACATAATTCAAAAGAAAGAATTGCGCTCCTTTTGCTCTAAATATTAATTCAGTTGTAAAATGGTAGATAAAGAAAGAGATACTTTTTTAAAGTTTTTACACGATTTAAGAGGTATATAAATATTTTCATTATTCATATATGTGTCATGTGTTCCTCTGAAAAAGAGAAACATGTTTTTCGAATTTCAATTCTTTCAACAACTAGAGTTTATTTATTCTTTCTCTTGTAGCAAAGAAGAAAGATTATTCTACATTTGAAGAATCAATTGGTATATTACAAAATTATGCTGCAACCAAAGGATTGATAGATGAAGATATTGATCTAGTGACAGATACTATTATAAATACAGAATTAGGTGAGTGTACAAACATTATAGAAAACAAATGTTTATATCTCATTGAAATCGTAAACTAAAGAACATGTTTTAATAGGTGCTACTAAATTAGCGTCGTTAGCAAAGTGTTTAGTTCCAAAATACAAGATAAGCGAATATACAGTAAAGTCTCTTATTTCTTGGTGTTTGGCATCAATAAATGAATTACCTATTACTGTATCCACTATTGTCATACAATGGACAGTTGGTAATATTACCTTCCTTTTTTTATTACATAAAAATATAATACAACAGAATATATAAAATAGAAATTGACGTTATATGCATATTTCAGGCATATTGGATCATCAGTTGGTAGACAAAAAAGTTATAAATATATATTATAGCGTCTTTTTTTATATAATGCTGAAGAAAGAAAAACTGGTAAACATTCTATTGAATATTGTAATTTATAGAAGACTCAGTAATTATACTCAGAAATTTTGGTAATCATCGTAACTGCACCGTTCTGATATTTTCTTATTATTTTCATTATAGGAGAGACATATAGCACGTATTATTTATGTATTGACAAAACCAGAAGACGTAACTCGCAGAGATGTATCTAGATTATTAAATCTTCATCAGAAATATTCAAAACCCCGAAAACATATTATCGTTTTATTATCGTAAGTAATCGTGATTTTAAATACTTTAATTGAGAAGTAATATTAATTCGACTCATTTTAGATTGTTTAAATCTTATAAGCCTGAATTAGTCCCTGAAAAGATTCAGTCTGTAAATACGGAAAGTGTATGGAAACCAATACCTGAAGTTTTGCGATTAATGCTTCAAGACGCGAAAAGTCGTTCGGAAATTCAGCAAACACAGGATTTACATCCAGAATGTTTTAACTGGAATATATTCGAAGTAAGGATTCGATAATCATAAAATTTATTAAAACGTGAAATACTTATATATTTCTCTTCTGATTTTGATAGTTTATGAAAACAAAGAAGACCGTAGCACCTCTGTTACCATCTGTAGGATATTTTCAAATTGGTTCTAATATATTTAAAGAGAAAAATACAAAATCTATTTTCGACATTTCTAGGTAAATAGCAACCTCATTGTTCCATAGTACTGTTTCTCGACTGATATTCCTTATATAGTAAAATATTTCAGCACGGAAGAACTAGGAAAATTAAATTTAAATGTGGAATTACCGTGTAATGCCGTATCTCTGTTGTCTAATACCGCTGGATATCATCTTCTTACATTTTCTGACTTCCAGTACCAAAGTAGATTTTCCTATAATCTTTACAATACGTTAATAAGAGGTATATTTCATGTCCATAATATAATCGAGTATAACGACTTCTAAAAAAAATACATTTTAATTATAAAACGTTTCTTCAATTTTAGCATTTATGTTGGAAAATGAAAAATTTTCAATGGAAGAAATTAATAAATTACTTGATGTAACTATAGAATTTTCACGATACATGCAACAAGACGTACTTGTCGTTAATCGTTTCCTCGATGAATATCTATATTTCAATACTGGAGAATATCTAACAAAGTTATTAGCTTTATTGCAGTGGATGACTTCGGTGACTATTACTGGTATATTTAAACGTATTCATTACGAGATTTCTATAATTCCATCTTTATTCGAACGAATCAAATTTTATTTGTCGTACACGAGTTACGCATAAATTGATACAAATGTAATTCTTACAGAAATTAGTATACATGATTTATTTTTGGTATTGAAAGACGCTACGTAGATGAAATACAAGAATTTTTAAATAAAATTTAAATTTAGTTTAATTTCATCTAAAAGAAAGTTAGAAAAGAGATATATTTTCTGATATTTCTTGATAATGTCTTATAATGAAATAAAATATAATCTCTTGATAATGTCTCATAACGAAATAAAATATAATCTCTTAATAATGTCTTATAATGAAATAAAATATATTCAGATTTACAGGAAAACATATTAGTTCATGTACAAAATATGTTTTACGAATCAACCTTAAGTGTAAAGTGTGAAATCATTAGAACATTGAAAATGTTAATCGTAAATTTGGTATGTGAAACCAATTATTTTATTATTTTATTATTTTGTATTAACTTAGTAGTAGTAGTTTCTCTCTTTATTGCATGCATTATTTTTGTTGAAAATAGATCAATATCAAAAATAACTAAGAGCAAATAAAATGTCTAAGAGCAATTAGTAGTTATTGACAAAATATAATAGTTAAGGAACGTTCTTTAAAACAACATTCTTTTGCAGTTTGTTAGTCAAGCGTGTAAAGAATACAACCATAAAACACGTGCACCGTTTTTAGGACAAGGTGCAATGGATAACTTAGAAGAAGCTATTCCCGTTCTTACCGAAATCTCGAAAAACCTTATTGTGTCTGGTTTAAACATACATTCCTATGATATTTTATTGCTTGCAGAAGCGATATCGTTCTATGAAGAGGTAAGAAGTAACAAAGGTAAATAATAGTCACGTAATCAACATAAATAATAATTGAATATTAATAATTTATTCTCGTATTTTTATCCAAAATACTTAGATTTGTATATTGGAAAATCAGAGCAGCGTAATGTCTTTCACATTGGCACCACCTGCAGTAATTTATGGAGGTTTCGCAACAAAACATTGCGCGATTTTATCAAAAATATGCAAATTATTATTAAGGTATTTATCTTACAAATTTGTTTACATTTATAAATTACTTTTTTAACTTCAATATTTCTCCATAGGTATCGTAGTAGGAGTTCGTCGTTAAAAAATTATACGATACAAAAATTATATGAGAAAAAATTTAACATTCTATCTATTTATGCTCAAGACATCGTTGAAGCATTGTGGCATGACAAGGTATGTATGTACATGTAACAAAATCAGTTAATTTTCCACATTAAACTCGAATTTTTAAATATTTTTCAGCTATTTAAAAAACACAGTAATACGTATTTGTTAAGAAACATTCCAACAAGAGTGATGGAAGACTTAGGACACTGCAATTTAAATTGCCTGTTAAATATCAGTAATCATTATGCCATCTTACCTTATAAGTGTATATTAAATAAAACAGGACTGAGTATTGACACGAGAGAGGTAAAGAATAACACGTAGTTATGTTTAACAATATTTGTAATTACTTTTATTTTAATAATAAGTTCTAAATAATAAAAAGTTATTTTAATGACAATAAAATTTTTACAGGCTGCTATGAGCGTAGCATTGTATTATTACCCAATTATAAATGAATTTCTCGATACATTTCGAAATTAAATATAAGGAAAAAATTAGGTATGAAAGATTTTCTTTTAAGTATTTTTAAGATGTAATAAATGTTTTTAGTTATACATTTTATACAATAACAAATATACGTAAAATTACTCGATTTAAATTAATCATTGCCTTTTATTTCTTTGATTTACATAAAAATTTTCATTTACAGTTCATTTAACAGTCTTTAATATGTATCTACCTAATAAAAAGTTACATATAAATTATCGTGTACGCCTCGGGCTCATAATTTATAAACTATATAATTTTCTTTACATATTTTTTAGCTTGTCTTACTTAGACATTAATATTTAATATACACATTACAGTTATAAATTGAAAATTACTGTCGCGTTTACATGAAAATAATAGTTCAATGATACATCATGCAGATTATTTCATTGAAAGTAAATGTGAACAACATTTAAAATTCATTAAAAGTATTCTAAATATATATTCTAGAAGAGGCCATGCTATTAATGTGACATCATTCTATAGACTAAATATTCTTTATAACTACATTTTTTAAAGCAATATATATATATATATATATATGTATGTATGTATTACTACTGCTACCAATAATGTATCAAAGAAGTGATAGATCGATAATTTAAATAAGTAATTGAACTATATTTTTTGACTGTAGATTGATTTTCGTAAAGTATATGTATATGATCAGTACACTTTTTAATGATAACTGTTAATATTCATTCATTGCATATTTGAATTATGCTATGCAAAGGAACGAATAAAGAAAATGTATGATATGAATAATTATATTGAATTAAATAAAAAAAGATTTATTATAAATGTCAAGTATACACGCATCAATGATGTGTACAATTATCATTATTCAATTGATAAAATACTATGTTAGCACATTTTTTTACATTTTCATTTCTTTTGTTATAAACTGAAACAATTATGCAATAGTGCGTCATTGTATTAATAACAATAATTTAGGACAAAATAACGTTAAGAATTTGATACTTCTATCAATAATGATAATATATCGTAAATTATCCTGGTAAATTTTACTAAATAAATCAAAATTATAAAGCTTTGTTTAATATCATAATATTTGTACTACAAACGTCTCAAAGTGCAAATGAACTCAAAAATCAATATAATAACTAGATATATATTCGTACATCTAGTTATTTATATTTATAAAAATAGTAATAAAGTATTACAGTAGAAAATTATACTTTGCCATTTATATTTAGAAACGTTATATAATTATATCATAGAAGAATTGACAGAATGTTCACCTCTACCAAAATTTTCAATAAATTCTTTCTTTTTCTCACGATTTGATTTGCAAATATCTCGAAAAGATATTATATATTTTCATCAATAACCATGAATAGTATAGTTAAATTTAATCGATCTTGAGCAATGTATTTATCACTTATACTACTTTAAATCTTAACAGGCTTTTGTAAACTGTCTTTGGCGTACGTATATTTTCAGACTAGAAAATAATGTTATCAAGAGGAATGTGAAAATAACAATGTAAATTAAATTTAAAGAATTTGGTAAAAGTGCACATCATTTATCATTGGTATTAGTGAACAGAAACTTCTGCTTTTGTATTACAATAATTGCAATTTTAGGTAATTCGTTCAGGAGATGATACCATGATGGTCCAACGTAAAATAACATTCAACATTAAAAATATGCAAGATATCAGTAGAAATAGAAACATTTATAATGTTCACACAATGCTTATGCTGCGTCGACTGACCTGGATACACAATCTAATATTTTCTTACGAACATAACGAATAAATTTAAATTATTATTAAAAAATTTTATCATAAACGTACGAAAACAAGTAATATCTTATTGTCATGAATTTGGAAAAATCATTAAAATAGTGTTTGAATGAAAATAGTATTCTCTTATAGTCTCCTATAGATTGGCAGTAATTTATTTATTAATTGAAATAAAGCATGATTATTTAAAAACTAACTTAAATTAAATATAATACTAATTACATCACTGCAGTTCCATGTTGACGTTAAGTTGAATTTGAATATAACTTCATTGACAAACACTTTTTAAATATGCTTTAGAAGATATTGGAGTAAATATAGAATTTAGAAAAATGCAAAATATAATAATAATTGTAACACAACAATTTTCTTCGCGACATTAATCACAATCATGTTCAGAAAAGAATAAAATAGTAATTTTACTAATGAAAATGATATGATTACTAATTTCATGCACTCGATTATAATATTCATATTTGAAAATTCATTAATATTTATATTTGATAATTCATTCTGCTTTGAATGTTATCGCTATGCGTAGTTTTCACGATGCAATATACGTAGGATGCAAAATATTTAATACCGCAAAAATTTCCCATTTTCTTTTCTTTTTTTTTTTATATGAATTTTGATATGAAAAAACTACTGTTGTTAGATTTTCTCAAACAATTACCAATATTTTAAATTTCAATGTAATATTTATGGAACAATGTCAGAAACCTTTACATTTAGATGATTAAACAAAGAAATTCTATATCCATTCTATATCCATTGATTGTACTTTTATGGTTTTGTAATAAATAAGGAAATATATTTTATTTAAAATAAATTAAACATACCGACTTACGATCATTTTAATGTTAGTATCATTCGAAGCAGATGAAGTTTTACTATTTACTTTTTACGATTTTTAATTTGATTCTATTCTAACTTTAAAATACATTTTTTTTATTTATTCTTTAAAAATTTGAAAATTATTCAACAAATGTTAGTCGAAGGATATAAATGAAGGGCTCCGAATAAGAATAATGTTATATCATAATGAAAAAGATCTGTATTTATAAATGCTAAATAAAAGTTTTTGAAAATTTGATTGAAATAACATTCCTGTAAAGCTTGAAATTAATAATACTTCGTCTTATATTTTAATACGCGTCTAAAATAATTACAAAAGTATATAATATTTTTATATATTGTACATCGTTTAACCCTATGAAAGAAAAAAGTCATGTAAAGTATTGCATGTGTTAATTTAAATAAAGTTATAGTTAAATTACACATGGTTCTGACATTATTGCCATTCTTAAAATAATAATTCTTCATTCACATGATTATATTTAATGCATTTGGCGAACAATAATTAAAAATTAGAATGCTTCATTCAATGCTTAATATCATATAATGCTTTGATTAAATTCGGTTTCTTAATTTTTGAATATACTAAGGCAGTGACTATAGCATCTTTATAAAAGAACTTGTTTCACATGCGGTTAGTAAATCATGATAAATTGAGAATTCAATCAAGCTTAGTGTACGAATAGCATTTTGTATGGCACAAGGTACAGATTGGTATTCGTTATAACTATTGAAAAGCATTGCCAATATTTTTTTCACTCATGCATACTTATGATATGAAAAAGGATTATTAAGAATGTGTGTAACAAGTATAAGATATACATTTTGTTTCGTAATATTCAGAAAGTATACAACCGATTGCGTATCAGCATATCAGCAATAACATGATTTATTTACAATACGTCTTATTTAAAGCCCACACTACTGCTTTTAAACAATAAACAGTTAGTAGTTAAAGAATGCTTTCGTTTTCTTTAAATTACACTATACACTTATATAAAATCTGTATGTTATATACTTCTAATTTTCATTATCAAATAGAACTTAAAAATAACTTTGTGTCAGTCAAGCTTCTTGTATTTAAAATATATTATATTTGAACTGCTGAATATTTTTCGTAATACACAAACATAATGTTTATTGCTCCTCAAACTATGATATATGACTAATTAGATGATGATGACATAATTCAAATGCACTTATCGTCATGAGGATACTGCAAGTGATAAATAAATAAATAAGATCTTATACGCGGATAATCGATATTACAAATAATAAGCAATATGTTATCTAATAATGTATTCTACTCTTTAAATTTTTGTTACGATTAAGTAGAATTAAGCAATTCCCTAATATTCACAATTTATGTTTCATTTTTTCAAGCATATAAATAAAAATGAAAGATTTAACTGACAAGTTATTTTAAATATTCGAGCTTGAAACCGATCTGTACAATGATACAAATAGAAATAATAAATCCTAGAACACTGCTATCAGATCTATGTAAATTTTACATAACCATTTTACATTTATTATTGCAACTGCTAAAAACAGCCATTTAGATTTATACTTCATATTTGACAAAAGAGATATTTAAAGAAATTTTTCTTGATTTTCGTAATTCTCTTAACTCTTAGCTTATTTAGCGGTGCTTATTTTTTTGTTAACATACGTTCGAAATGAAACTAAAAGATTTGTCATATACAACTCTCTGTTATTTGCTATAAGGAATTTTTCAGAAATACCTTCATACGTAATGTAATGTATCATCGCGGAAAAGTAAATGTGATAAACAAAATTCTTAATTTCTTAGATGTCCTTTGATCACTTTATCTCAAATTTTAGACATCCATCTTTGGCACAGTATGTAATTAAGCAAAAGTAGATTATATCTATAAGTAGAAAGAAATAAAATAAAAGACAGAAAAGACGTACAGATTTTTCATCGGTACAACAAAAATTCAGTACATAATCTATCATTACATAATAAAAAACTAAATAAACGATTCAATAAGTTGTACAAAAGAACATGATTACGAACAAGTTCTTTTCAGAATTATCCTTGATTAGTTAAATATAGCAAATTTTATCAGAAAAACAAGAATGACAGGAAAAGATGGAGAACATTGAACAAACGTTGAGATATTATTTCCTAAACACAATGAATATGCATACATTGTTTTTATATCTAACAT